ACACTGGGCGCGAGTATGTTTATTTGCCAGAAGCCGCGGCAGGAGGCCGCGTTCAAACAAAAGACGCGCGCGCATTGGGTGCGAGTGGCGCGGGGCTATACTATTCCAGATGGCATTGAGCGGGGCCGGCGCACGTGGCAGGAAAGCACCGAACAAAATGGAAAGGGAAAGGCAAAAAAATATACTTACAAAGGAAACCTTGCGCTTTTGGAGCGTTAATGAGGTGAAATACAGGTTGTTTCTAAACGATTGTCTTTCAACGAATGATTCACAAAAAAAAGATAGGCTGTGTCGGGAGCAAAGATGTAGATTACCGCTCGTCTCACTGCTTCATACCACTTTAACAGGCGAAACTGGGGATTGAAATTTAACCCGCAGTTGTTTACGTCCATTTTGTCTGACAAGTCTCCGTTCAATTTTTAATGAATTTTGGATGGAAAGCACACGTTAATATTCTTAGGCAGTTGTATTCTGCTCCATTTCGTTTATTCATGTGTATTACTTAATGTCTATGTCCTACTGGCGAGTTGCATATAACTGCTAAACTGTCGTTGCGGATACGTAATCCAAGTTTTTCACTTCAACCAATGGAATTTGCCATCATAGCCATTTCACACTCCGCTCAGGAATGTCAGAGATAGTAGCTGCAACAGAATTCGTAAATCGCAATGCGGTTACTCGCGAGTGAGATTAGTAGTTTACGCGACAAGAGCACGAAACTATTAGTGAGACGAAAGACGAAAATTTGTTTCCTCTGTGTCTCTCACAGATTTACCTAAACACTTCATCTTTTAGGACACTTTTAGAATTAGTACTAAAATTAAACTATGAACACAGTAGGCATGCCTTGTAAGAACCGCTTTTACTAGTGGCAATATAAAAAAAGTAATTAGCAACAGGTAAGCAATTAAGACCAAAACTTGAAATTCTCTTTAGCTGCCAGATTTCATGCAATCTGAAGAACCCTTCAATTTCCCTGGATATTTCTTTCTTAGATATTAAAAGGTGATAAATATTACTTCCACTATTCATGTAATATTTACGAAAACTTGTAGATATTAAAAATATTTTATAAATATAGATTTTCCATACATAAACCGTGACTGGTTTTCTGAAACCGCAGAAGCTGCAGAATGTGGACATGAAAAAGAATGATTCTAATAAGCTGGCCGGAGAAGAAAACTAAAATTGACGTATTGCTGGAGATCAGTGGAAAAGAAATGTCGATTATTTTCGTGGAAGGGAAAGTTATTTTTGGGGACAAACGCTAAAAGAAACTAAATTTAATATTATAATATTTGAAAGTAAAAAAGTATGAGGGAAAAGAGAGCCTCGTAAGTGATATATGAACGACGTTATGAGTAGGATGGATTCCAGAACCGGTAACATTATCGAGATAAGAATATCGTGGCTGAAGAGATACCTTTTGTGCAGCGACATAGTGAATCCTTTAAGATTGATCTTAATCTCATTTTATCATTATCCTAACCAGTTGAGAGTCATGGTGCTGGTGGATTTTCCTAATCCCCCGTTATCTTTTATACTGATTACTAAGTGCCAGTAGCAAATGTAAAGTGATATAGTTCTTCGATGCTTATCTCGATGGATTCTTCTATAATCTATTCCGGGAATTTTCAGATCTTCCTTTTTCTTTTAGTGCCACTAAAATGCTTCACATTTTGTATCCCAAACACCACACAACCATTTTTAAGTTTAAAATTTACAGGCTGTACAGGCTGTAATCGTTGACAATTACTGTTAATCATGTCAATGACAGCCTAGTTTGATATTTGTCTATTCCCTATATGTAATTTACTATCCGAAGTCTTGTTGAGTAATGAAGGAATGCATTTTTCTATTTCCTACTCTTGCATAAGTGCAAGTTCTTTAAAATATGTCTTTCAGAAACGTATGTCACTAACAGCGCTTAAGGGTAAACCATATGACATGGTGGAAATTTTGCAGAAATTGAAATTATTTTGTATGTAACACGCCGACTTGTGTAGCCTAGCAGGAATCTTTTAATTATCACGATTCGTTGGGTCACACATTTGGAACCGTTTCGGGAAGGATATGATTATTTCATAACTTAACGCTCTGTTTTCTATTCCGTTGTAATCCGACTACGGCCAACGAAAATCCATCGAGAACGCGCTCGAAAGAGAAGCAACTCTACTTTCGTAGCCTGCAAGCAGTTACATTGATAGACTCTTCTAAAGAGCACTATCATGCGGGGTCTGCCTTTTCATATATCCAGAATTGGATCTTGTTATACTGCAGGCCCTATTTGCAGGTCGTTGTTGTACTCAATAATAAAAGTCTGCTCTCTCAAGTCACATTGGATTGATTGATTGATTAATTGGTGATTCCGGATTCGTCAAATGTTAAAGGAATTGATCGCGTAAGTGTAGTGCATGATACTCTATAAGCTCCCGACTGGTGTGGTGCAAGTCAACAAGTGTGGTAATGTTGTTCTTGTCAGTGTAAGGATGTGCAAGCAAGGGAATGAGGACAAGGACGAGGAGAGAAAGATCGCGCACGATCTGTGGCCCGTTTGTTAGGGTACTGCTCCGGCATTCACCTGATGTTGATCGGAGAAATCACGGAAAACGTCTGTTCAGATCAGCAGTCCGCTAGAATTCTTCTGCAGACACTCTCCCTTTTCACATGTTATAAGAAAGTTCAAATGGAGGTATGTTCAGACAAATATTTGTAATGATTAAGGTAATGTTATGATTGGGTTCTACAAGCTCAAATGATGTAAAACTAGTGGTGTTACAGAAAGGCACACACTTTACTATTTTAGTTTTCTATTTCCATTGGTCTCTAGTAATTCGTAATTGCCACATACCCTTAACAATTGCCATCTATCGCCGCCCAAAATTATTTTTTTTCGAACTTTTCTTAATTGTTCGGTTTCCTGAAAGTAGTACAGACATTATTTTAAGAATATTAAAGGACAGTAAAACTTCGTTCTTGTTGAGGCTGCGCAATATTGCTTTGATGATTGGGAGAACATTAGTAGATACTGCGACGAGAAGTTTTATGCATCCCCTGTCGTGTCGAGACGAGACAGGGAGACGAATCAGACGAGAAAATTATCTGACTCGACGAAAATAAACATTCACTTTACGAATTTCACGCTTGGTGCTTGTGCCCGCCGCTATCATGCCGCAATTTGGAGTCTGCGGTAACGGAGAATGCAGTAATGTGCTGGGATTTGCTCGCCAACGTACCGATTCAAACTTTTTATGCGTACAATACACGTTTCACTTAGCGCACGATCACTACGCAACTGCTCGCGGCTTCTCAGATTTTGAAACAATGCGAGCTCGCCGCGTGTGAAGTGGAAAAAACTGGAACTCCGGGATTCCCATTGTCAGATTTGACAATGGATAAATCTTTCGTCGCGGCCGCCCAGAAGGTGCTGAGATTTATTGTTGACTTTTCGAACCAGTTGAAAGTGGAATTCGGAACCAGTGGAATTCAAAGAGCTTTGTGTCAAATGAATTTTCCACTATTTGTGAGAGAATTCGCGGTTTCTCAAAAGCGCCAAGTCTGAAATAAATCATATTTTCTTTTTAAATGACATCAAAGAGTAGCGAAACTGAGATATTCGAAGCGTGGCGCCAAATTAGAATTAATTTGGCTCTCCATGTGCCAATAGTCCTAAATGACAATATTCTTTGAAAACACTGGTGCCGTTTTTAAGAAAATGGCGTTTAAACGTTACAGCAAATTTCATATTGGAAGCTTTTTTCACAGACAATTCTTGAGTTTTCGAAAAACTCTATTAAAATCCCTCAGAAGCATATTACTTGCAATACATTATTATTTACAAATGCCTGGAAATGTACATATTATTGCCATGAGAGATCTTTGAAAAAATTACATTAGTGTGATTTTTGAAAAACAAAAAGTTCTGCGAAATGAACTTTACGTCAAATTAAAAAGTGTAATTAGAACTATTTGTTCGAAAAATTTGAAAAAAATATTTGGAGGCGTTTTTGAGAAAATGTTGTTTGAGCGTTTCTGAGAATTATAAGCTACTTTTAACATAAAACGGATGCGTTTTAGAGAAATTTATATGACATATTTAAAGCACATGTACTAATAAATATAATAATATGAACAAATCGCCGCAACGTAAAAAATTAGTCAAAATATTCATTTTTGTAATTTTTGAAGAAACAGAAGTATAGAACAATAAGGCGTTTATATTTTCTAATATGGTATATTAGGAACTATCTCTCCCAAACGTGTAAGGAAAAAATTTGGAGCCGCTTTCGAGAAAATCTTGTGGTTGTATTTTTTAAAATTGCACAAATTGCACGCAATATTGCGCGAAACCACTAAATGTTTCAAAAACCGTACATCACTTTAACGAAAGAACTATTTATGGACAACAACTTTAATTTGAGGGGAAAATCTCTATCTTCAATTTTGTGGTTGTAGGAAGACGCCGACAAAATCATATTTTATTTGTTTTTATAGACTGTCTATGTAAACCAAGTGACCAAAAACAATTAATATATAAGAGTGTGATAATGTTACAACAGACAATACTTTTTTTTAATGTTTGAACTGTATTTTTATGTAATATTTTATGTATCTGTATATAGTACTTTGTCCTTCACTATAAGATGCCAGTGAATAATATTTAAAATACCTCGAAAGGGCAAAATTTCATAAAAACCTTCGTAGACGTTTCTCTGAACAACTGGATTTACAAAAATATGTATTTTATAAAGTAAAAAATAATTTATTTTACAGTACATAGCACCATTTGTATCGTAATAATTACTTTTGTTTATCAAATCTGTGACACTTTATTTTCTTGATGTTCAAATTTCCTCACAATCACAAATTGTGTGCGAGTGAGGAATTCAATATTTTCGTGAAGCCTCAGACTGAGGCGTTAATGTATTGGTAATAGCATTGCTCTTCTTTAGAAGATTAATTGAGATCAATATTACGGAGACATTATTTTCTGCTATGTGATGACAGTAACATTTGAGAAACTAAGGCGACCAGTAGACAAGTGGGAAGACGTCGAGCGAGGCATCACTAATGTCGGGTACGACAAATGGGCTCTGTGACATGTCGGCGCACCAGCCAACGTACATGAAAGTGTGGGATTTTGAAAGCCATTGTTTGAGATTGCCTATTTTGCTATCACAACTACAAGGTATGTATATAATTGACAGCATGCTTTCATTAAAAGTGACTTGTGCTATAAGAGCACATACATTCTCGCACTATTCTTAATTTTTGCCCTTTTCAAAACTTCAGAGTGGTCAACGAAATTTATATTTAAACTATTATTTTCCCCTTTGAAAAAAGCTGTTTGTGGAAAATATTTGTGAAAAAATACCTTGAAAAAATTGAAGCAGAGTTTTACGAAAATGTTTGCTTATATAAATTGCGTTAGCTTAACAAGTAGAAATTTCGCCAAAACTACATGTCTTAGAAAACTGTACATGAATTATTATAAAAATCTCAGTTTTAGAAAAAAATTTATTTAAGACAATAACCACTATCTTCATATTTGTAATTTTGCAATGTCGACGTTTTGCAGTTTTCAAAAATACACAGATTTGTCCGGAAATGGATTTAGCAACAATGATTTAAGGTTCTTTGATACGTACCAAGACAATTTTTAAAAAAATGCCAAGCATTGACGGATCAGAGCGGGGGGGGGGCAACCATGACTCCTCTGCCAACACTATTTACACTGCCTTTGCAGCGTCATTGACAACAGAGGCTGTAAGGTTCGATACCCGGTTGAGGCACAATTTTTGACAGTGGAAAATTACTAGTTCGAGTTCATTCACTGTTTGTAGAAAAATTCTGGCAGTCGGTGATTTCTTCGATTAATACCAGACGAATGGCGGAGCAGTATAAAAAAACGGGTCATGGACCGCGCACGAAGTTTCCTTCTCATCTTCCTCTTTCTTTATAAACATGCACACACACTTTCACATCCACAACACTATACGACCACATCTTGGAAAAGGAGTCGGTGTTCCGGGTAGAATGGTTTCTTGCTGAGAAAAATACCCGGAGGGGAATAAATTCCCAAGCTGACGATTAGGCAGTTTCGGAATTCAGGTTCAGAAGGGAGCACTGCCGCCTCCCGAGATATACACTTACGGTACAAATGATCTAAGTAGTAGACGAGCCCAGAAGCACAAACTAGCCATCCAACGTGGTAATTGAATCCAAGTGATTGAAAACAAGACCCACAAATTGATAGCATCTCATTATAAAGGAGGTATCCCATTGTTGGGATTTCATAAATAGGTTTCGAAACGCGATACGACAATGGTCAGTAAAAAGTGCCTGTCAGGTTTATGTCGATGTTAGAACTCGCTGTATAACCAACATTCTAGTGATACAAAAATTGCATACTTGCATCGAGTTTAGATACGATTCATGTTTGTATGTTTCAACTAATTATTTAGCTGGGCATTTGCTACTCCATCTCTTGGACCGGTCAATTCTCAAGACACTGCAGGGCAGGTGCCGGTTTGTCGGCCACGAGCGTGGAAGCCGACACTTCCCTAACTCCCCTCCACCGAACGTTGGAGTAACGACACAGTCAGTGCGAGGCTAGCTGGCGCTGTGTACGGCCATACTCTCTGCCACTCTCAAAACACCTGTTGTGCGGTTCTCTACAAAATTCACTGAAAAACAGTTGTATGTCAACGGTGAATTTTCTATATAACAATGTACTGTAATATGCGTCACGCTGAGTTCGTGTTAAACCACAACCATGTAAACGATCGCATCATACATCAAAGGCAGCCACGTGGACATGCCACTGTTAGACATGCAATTGTGTATTCTGCCACAACTTCGAAACAATCCCACCAATGTGGTTATGATAAACTCTTGAGCCACAATGCATTGTAATGCACTCCATGCTGAACGCTCATATTTGTACATGCTCCTAGCATAAACTGTTCTTTTAACATGTGCTGCACGTGGTCGAATCACATGCCTGTTGTGTGACGGTGTCCGCTTTACCAGGCGTTCACGTGATTTCCATCAATTGCCAGTATAATTCAAGTGTTTCTGGGCTTCTAGTCAGTGCTAACCAGCCGTCGCCCCCTCTTTTCTGTAAGTGGTTCAAATCATGAGCCTGCGTACGTTTTTAAGGCTACGCTGCATCATCATGATTGTGTTTGAGTTCAATGTACCATATTTTCCTTTCAGCACTAGTGTATAATGCGCTGTTGCACACCTGAACTCACGTTAAGTGCTTACAACAACCAACGCAGTCTTCAACTGCATATGCCAACGGCCATTGCTACCTTCTAATGTTAATTACAACCAACACAGCTTTCAACTGTAAATGCTCACGGTTACTGCAATCTTTCAATGTTAGTTGAAACTTCAACTGCACATGCTTACAGCTATTGCACTGATTTAAACTCTCTTAACTTAGCATTTAAATTACCAATTAATCATAACTGTAATCAAATGTATCTTACTTCGTTTTAATTACATGTTCTCTTCAATGAGTACATGCCTACTGAAATCTCCCTAGCTAATAGTGACGGCTCTTGTAGATACTAGCATTACAAGAAATGCGTTCACATCGCATTATACGCGGGGCTCCTCCGAGCTGATAACATAGCTGTTAAGGTACGTTGGCAGGAGCTGGCTGATAGCTCATCCGAGCTATAACAGCCCACTGCCTCCTCAGCCAGTTCCCAACGATCGAGTTACACGTGATTTCTATGAAACCCGAGCAAACCTGACATTTCGATTGAATTGAATTGAATTGAATTTGCCTTATTTTACGTGGCGAGACTCGGGCCATCAGGTCCGCTCTTCCGTCTGACCACGCAAATTTCGCTACGCTCCTTTCACTAACTAACAGAGGAAGGAGGTATTTCTTGGGCGAGAAACAGACGATTTTGAATTTAGCTCAGAGGCGTCATTTAGGCTTGAGGATCTTTTACATGCAAGTAAATCTACGAACATGGGGCAGCCGGCTTTACTTTCCCTCCGAAGGAAGGCGTACGAAGGATTTTTTCGCCCTTAAAAATACGATTTCGATTGCTTCTAGTTCGCACATATTCGTTCATCTATAGTGCCAAATGTTCAATTTCCGAGAAGCGGAGATAAATTGACAATTCGCGGCAATTGTTCGGAGGTTATGGACTCACAGTTTCTACTTTGATTTGATTCACACAGAGACGGTTCCAGTCACATTTATTAGCAAACTCGTATCAGAAATATTCCACTTCGACATGCACATATTTCAAATGATAACACAGTATGTAAGAAATATAAAGTAATATGTAAAAACCTTAACTATGTAAAAACATGAAAAATGTTTTAATGTAATCAGTATACTAGGTAAACTCTAAAAAAATTGAAAACAGGTTACGTCAACCTGCAAAAATATGTATTTACATGAAACTCAGTTCCCTTTTATTAATGTATATTAAGCAGCCTCCTCTATAAACGACCACTTTTGCAGGAACCGCTGAAGACAATTTTCACTTCTCCGAGGATTTAGTAACTAATGTGAGTAATATATTTAATGATAGATGCATAATTTTTACGCTTCCCCCAGGAAGCGGAGGTAAAGTTTGTACATTGACAAAAATTACAAAAGCGACAGATGTGTTCAAATGTGTTACTAGAATTGAGAGAAACTAAGACTATTAGAGAGTCTGGGAAAGTTAATAAAATAAGATGGAAATTGAATGCTTATACAGACATTTATAGGCTTGAGAACTTTCGCATAATTACCTATTCAGTAAAGTTATGACTTGAAATATGAAAAAAATGTCATTGATTTTTAAGGCAAGTTGGATGGGGGCACATGTAAATAACTGAGGAAAATGATGTGCTCATGTGAGAGTTATAAAGACAAAGCGGTGCAACAAAATGTATATAAATGTCTTTCGTGTGTTTTATAAAAACACTTGGTAGCGAAAAAAGAGCAAAAAGAGGAGATTATGATACACATCTGTAGGATATAGAATTTATACAGAACATTTTCAAAATATTCACCCACTACTAATCAATCATCTTTCTACATCTTATTCATAAGTTCATTCTCAAAATATTTTCTGCACTTCTTTCTTTTGCCGAAAATAATGAATGATAACTCAGAGTTTATGGATTCACTAATTAAGTTAATCATACGTTTTATAGAGCCGAAAAAGTGGACGTTCTTATACCACAATGCTTATAACATTTTCAGTATTAAAAAAAAGCATCAGTTGAAGTGTATAAATGAAGCTGGGCATTATCATAGACCAACATTTAGAAACAATTCTTTAATTTTCATAAAAGAAAGTGTCGAATCATTCGAGTAAAATCAGTTTATAAAGTGTGTTTGACAATAGATTGAGGCTTAAACTGATACAAGTTATCAGAAAATAAAAAAATATAAGACATACGTATTTGTGAATATGCAGATGTAAAATACACCTTCAAGGCTTTAGCCTACAATGTTTCGTTACCACATGCATTCTTGAATATTTTGGTATATTATTTGTACCACTCTGGCCAAAAAGTCCTATTATTCTCAGATTACCTGAGAATATCAGGAGCTGTGGAGGACACGTAAGTTAGAACGTCAACGTCGATCACGCTGTCACCTGTTGCTTCTCACGTAACGGTTGAAGGTCGAAGTACAGTATGTGTACGAGAAAGGATCCATAGTGAATGCGAGGTGGTGAGACAGACAAATTCCGCATTTGGCAATGTGGCGACTCAGAAGTGTGAACCTCAGCCCAGGACGGTCAATTGTGAGCGAAGATTAGATAGACATTACAAAAATAGTTATTGGTGATACGGTTTCATTTTAGTACACAGCGTATATAACATTCGGAACACAATCTACAATGTTCTCAGAATAATTTTGTTTCGTTTAATAGTTAGAAAATAAGACGAGTCGGCAATTGAGAAATAAATTGCTTTGACGTATTAATGTTGCCTAATACTTAGACTTAAACGATTATTTAATGTTCGTGGTGAGTGTTATCAACTTACAATAGCACCTGTGCCATTAGATACATACGAGTATAACATGAAACTGTCATGTAGAATGAAGTTTATACATATGTGTGCACTATTATCTTCATGAAATACCTCCCCATTTTATGTGGAAAGTAAATAGTCACCAATGTCCATGAAATTCTGAATTGGCGTTTGCTATTCATTGCTTCCTTTATTCATGTCTCGTAATTCACGGGTAGATAAGTGTGATAGGGTTTGTGTATGTGAAAGCCGACAGACTAAGATTGCTCTGGACGATACAAGGTATGCCCTGCCTTGCCATTTGGAAAAGTCCTTCCAAGAACACGTTTCATGTGTCGTTATCTTCTTGTACAAGTAGATACCACACGATTTATTCTCACGGCAGAGTACATAGGTCTATTATTGCAATATGTGGCAGTAGTTCTTCCCACATTCACTATTCATCAGATATTTATGGAACTCCTATGACTTAAAAAGTGCCTCTTAAACCTACAAAATATACCGTCGGAAAAACTTCATATTGATAACTAAAATACATCATTCTGTTGTAAAGGCAAAGAAAAATACAGCCTTACAATTAGGTTTCGGAGATGTTTTTTGAATGTCACAATACTAACGAACAGGACTTATTGTAATTCGACCAAATTTAAGCCTTGAAAGTCACATATTGGAGATAAGGGCTTAATGCAAATAGTAAAGAACTAGTGGTACTACAACACAGTTTCCTGCAGAATTAATGAACACATTAGATATTGGTGGAATTTAGAATCGTCCACCTTTGCTAATCATTGACCCCATTCTACAAGATAGCGACCTAGTTGTTTCTCACATATTTCCTCTGTTATGCATTATGTGATCTACTTTGCTTGGGTAGTATTTTTTAATCATTTTATCTCGTATATTTCTTAGATATCTCTTGTACGTCCGTACTTAATGTTATTTTCTTTCTTTTACCCTTGTACTGTGAGGACTGCATGTTTAACCTACTTAGGGTTTAGTGGTTGTTAGAAATACTTATCAGCTTTATCCCTGGTCCTCTGATTTTCAGCCTTATCCACGGCCCTACAGTTCATGAAACGGGTAGTTTTAGAAGATGTTATTATGACCTCGGAAGTTGGGTGAAGATGACGTCTCCTAGATGACAGTTTACAAAGACAGTAGATGCGGGTACTCATTTGGATTGAAAGCTGAATGGATCTTTGGATCGCCCTAAATAGACCACTACCGGGTAAAATACTCACCAATACAGGGATTTCAAGCAGAGTCCCTCAGGTTATGAAACCTATGTCCTAACCACTGTGCTGCCGCGACTATATTTCAATTTTTCCTTTTTCATATGAAAGCTCACCTGAAGATTGGAGAAGTGTTTTATGAAATTTAGATTGGGTGGGTTAATATATCTATATATAAATATTACATATATGTGTAAATGGATGTTGGTATATAGCTGTAAACGCCGACACCGAGACACCGATCTCCATGAAAGTTGGCACATCTACAAGTTTTTTTCACCCATAAGTTTACGAGCTGTTAATATTGTTGAAATCTACTAAACGGTGATGCAAAACAAAATTGCACTTCATTTAAACCCTTTCGCTGCCACTGGCCGATCTGGGACAATGGCAACTTTGCATGTGCTTTCAATTCATTTATTCAGCAAAAGATAGCGTAGCATTCATCTTATTGTGTTGAAGGTTTCAAGCGGACGTTTCGTAGGAAACATATTTGACGGTGAGAGAGCCTGAGATAAACGGCGAGAGTGTCGGAGAGAGAAAGGGAGAAGGAAGGAGAAATAGAGATATAAAGAACAAACAACGTCTGCCGGGTTCCACTAATAAATATTAAAACAATTATTTAATAAATATTAAAACGGTTATTATTGTGATTATTTCATAATTTTGTTCAAATACCTACTTCCAATATTTTTATCCTACTATTACTATTGATGCTGGTTCATTACAATTCCAAGATATTCATCAGTTTGACATAATTCAATACAAAGTATGCAAAAATCATTCTATTTAAAAAAAATACACCATCTAATTTCGTTTAATTTTTTAAATTAATGTTCTAAAACATAAAACAATCTTTATCACCAATATTGTTGTTGGGGTCTGACTGAAGAGGGAGTGAACTGATGAGATGGCTCGGATGAGCTAGTAACCAGCCCCTTCCACTTACCATTATTAACAATTTGGAAGACCACTGCGTACAATGCGACGCTCATACATTCCCTGTAAATGTTAATATCTACAGAGGATGTCACTACTAATTTGGGAGAATTCAGTAGACATGTATTAATTTAAGAGAAAAAATGTAATTAAAACTAAGTAAAAGATACACTTGATTACAATTATGTGATTACACCTATGTTGAACGTATTTGAATGAATACAATAGTCGTAGGAATTTACAGTTGAAGACTGTAATGGTTGCAGTTAACACATAACATGAGTTCGAATATACAACATAGCACTAGTGTTGAAATGTAAAAAATGATACATTGAATACAAATAGACTCATGGTGATGCAATGTAGACTTGCAGACTGAACAGGTGCGCAGGACACATAGTCATCCACATGGAGAGGGGATGAGGGTGACAATTGGCAAGAACACGTGCGGTGTCTTGACTGAATTGAATAGGCATGGAGCAATGGCCCGAGAGGCGGTTTCGCCAAGCGGCCGGCGAGAGAATTAGTTCAAATACACAGAATGTGAGAATGTACCATACTCGTACCTGAGTGAGCAATTACGACATAAACTAGGATGCTGAGTATAATTGTAGTTGTGCAATTTGTTTTATAATTTAAAAAATACAGACTTCGCCGAAAATGGGACCAGCATAAGTTTTTTATCCTTTGTTACACGAAAGAAATGGAAGAAAACTTTAGAATTTTTTGCAAAACTTGATCATGTATTGCTTATATTTTACATAAAATTCCGCGAAAACTACATATTTTTAGACAAACTGTACATGAGTTGTTTATTTATTTTTCACTGCACGTACATGGCCATAAGGAATCAAAATCTCTTTCACAATATTTCATTACAATAAAATTTATCTATTCATTACGTGTACACGACTATTTCAAGATTTCACTTAAAAAAAAGATTGCATTCAGAAAATATCCCAATTTTTAATATTGCATTTGACGAAAAACGCAAAAATAATATTTCCAATTTTCAATAATTAGAGATTTTAACGAAAATTACACCTACGAAATTTGTTAATCGTAATCCATGTTATCCCAGAACAAATAAATACTTCCAGTTTTGGGGGTCTAGATGACTATTCAAGTAAGCAATCAAAACACAATACTTCTTAATAGTTGTCCTGTATCATATCATCAAGAAACTTTTCATCGTGCTTAACCATTTCATATAGAGTAAGCCCGTTTTGGTCATTTGTAATAACTGATTTTTCTCAGTTGCCCGTATCTTACACAGACTCCTGAAGGATACCGTTAGCATATATTTCAATCGTCGCGTCGTTTCAATCAGGGATAACGAGGACCAGGAAAAATTCCCCTACGACCATATTTTTCAGGGAACAGTTGCCTTATTACATGGGATGTCATCCTTCATAAATTTGTATGGTCGTAGAGAGCTGATTGTCAGAGGTAGTGGAGAAGATTTCCGATTTCTTTGTAGAAATATCTGTATTCCTTTGGATGAGTTTTATCATTACAGCACCTACGGTCTCAATACCAAGTTCCTGAGATTTAACATCCAGGCACACGCAGACATCTTGTAAATCAGAGAGGACAACAGCTTGCATAGTAGCTTTATACATAACCGCTTGTTCAGAATTAATACCCCGAAAAGAATTTTGTAACCGAAGAATGCTTTGACCAATAGTTGAACTTGGAAATATTATCTCACAATTCTTTTTGTTAGAATCCTCAATAAAGTACTGTTTAGAATCACAATTATCCTGAACACATCCATATTCAGTTCTTCAAACTCTGAACGAGTTTATAGAAGTTATCTCCTTCAAAGAAGCTTTTAATCCAATCCTGGTGTGATTTTTTTCTTGAAAGCGCTTGCTTGGACTTCTAAACTTAGTCGTAGCTTCTGAAACACACTATTGTCTTTTGTGATATCCTCCCCTTTTTCTAACACTACTTTAGGTTGATTATGATATGGTTTATCAGTTTCTTATCAATGTTTTCTCGACCCAAGAGCTGAAGTATCTGCTGCAGCAGGTTGATTTATAATTCTTGTGATTACAGGACCAGTAATAGATCTAGCAACCTTTGTGGCTTCACATTGAGCATCATTGAAGTAGGCAGGCACAGTTGCTACTGCTTGAATAAACTTCTTTCATAAACATAGGTTTCAGCAGTTTCTTTCATCTTTTCAAGTACCATCGCAGAGGTGTCATCGGGACCAAATAACATGTCTCCTTGTGCAGTGACAACTTAATACTGTGGTTGCTTGGTTGTGGCTGAATATGCGGTTTTCTGTTTTCCTCCATCCTCCTAAATGGAAAAACATTTCACGTGTGGTTGTATAGTATATGACCACTCCCGTCGAATAAGTCGCTTAGAATCGAAAACTGTTTTCTGTTGTTGTTTTCCTGTTAGCTAATTTTTCGCCGCATAGCCGACCTAAAACATTCATCATCTAAACTGAATCTTAAGAATGTAGGAATAATCCTGTTGCCTTGATCGTTGGCAATGATTTTCAATGATTTATTTTTGAAAATACTGACATACGGGTACTTAAATCGTAAATAAATACTAATAGCAATTCTATGTTACTAATTGTTTATTCTTTCGACCAACAGCCAGCACAAAAAAAGGTGCATAAAAGCTGCACAAAGTAACCCTTCATTATGAAAGAACACTGACAATGATCCAGATAATTCTATTTCGGTTGGTGAGTTACGTATATCATCCGATGTCTCTTGAATCTCACATATTCCTCACACACTAATACACCACTTACGATTCCGTAACGCTTCCACCGTTGACTGATCTGAAATTGTTCCAACCTCTAGCATCATAAAAATCAACTTATTTCGTGTCTACTCTTCTGCCAGTGTACGATTTAACTTCATATCTTCAATAGACTTCGCGTTCTTTTTCAGTTTGGCAAGCCGAAGTGTTTTTACCACCAAGGCTCCTGTCGAAGCAAATTTCATATTAATTCCAAATAGTATGGGTTTCCACTCTGCCATATTAAATCGCGAAAGCCAGTCGCAAATATTGTCTTACTGAGTCTGGATTTGCTTTCGACAATCTGTAACTACACTACTTCACTTCACAAACATTTAAGATTTTTGAAGGGGAACATCCCATGGCAAAATAATTATTTACTGGGAAAATTTGATTTTACACATATTCTTTCTGATCTTCATGCGATTCCATAGATTGAAGTAACGTTTGAGCTAGATGCCAACGGTATTTTCCAAGAGTCTGTTTAAGATATGGTTACTGGAAAAAGATAAAAAATTGTTATTACAAATTAATAAAACATTGATGTCATGGAACGAATCAAGGGTGCTGAAAAGTCTGCAGATCATTTCAAAACATACGATTCTTATTAAGTAGTTTAATGTTGTGACTGCTCACTTGAACGGCTGTCTAGAAAAGGAAATATTAATGAAGCAGCCAAATAATCTACATGAAATTCATTACGTTATTATCTGATCAGAAGAGTAAAAGCTTATCTCAAGAATGCATGATTGTGTTGAATTCTGTGAGAAAAGGATACATGGCCTGTATTGTTGAAGAAATACGTGCACAGTTAACATGATAAAAGAAAAATTACTGAATGAAGTTCATTAAGAATGTGGCGCAATTGTCGGCTGCATTAAAGAAGTTACAAAGAAAGGGAGTACCATTCATTTGGAATTCAGAATGTAAACACGCCTGCCACAAATTTAAAAGATCAGTTATAAGAAAAACCGTATCTTTTACATATCTGTCCTATAAACCACTATTGCTAGGTAATGATGCAGCTTGTCACAGAATATATGTTTATATCTCGAAAACAGATGGCCCAGAAACACAATTATCGCTTCCGCATACAATACCCTTAATACCACAAATATATTTTTTACAAATGGAAAAAGAAGCTCTTGCAATAGTCAAAGCAGTAAACAAAGTCAGTCGGTGTGTGTACACAAACAAATTCAGTTTGGTCACCGATAGCAATTACTGTCATCTCAGCGAGGGAAATTCCCCAGCGAACAAAGTAATGACTGCAGCGGTAGGCTTTTGTCTAATTATCATTACGAAATTCATTTCGATCACCAATTCATTTCGATCACCAATCTTCATGCGAATGCAGATGCCCTCCCTACGTTGCCAGTGGGGCCAACGGCGAAAAATCAACTACGAGGAAAACAACAGAAAACAGTTTTCAATTCTAAGCGACTTATTTGACGGGAGTGGTGAAATACTATACAACCACACGTGAAATGTTTTTCATTTAGGGGGATGGAAGAAAGCAGAGAACAACATATTCGGCCACAACCAAGCAACCACAGAATGAAGTTTTCTCTGTACAATGAGACAAGTTATTTGGTCCCGATGATATCTCTGCGATGGTACTTGGAAAGATGAAAGAAACTGCTGAGGCCCATGTTTATGAAAGAAGTTTATTCAAGCAGTAGCAACTGTGCCTGCCTACTTCAATGATGTTCAAAGTGAAGCCACAAAGGTTGCTAGATGTATTATTGGTCTTGTAATCACAAGAATTATAAATTAACCTGCTTCAGCAGATACTTCCGCTCTTGGGTCGAGAAAACATTGACAAGAAAGTGATGGACCATATCATAATCAATCTAAAGCTGAGTAAGAAAAAGGGGAGGATATCACAAAAGACAATAGATGTTTCAGAAGCTACGACTAAGTTCAGAAGTCCAAGCAAGCACTTTCAAGAAAAAAATCACACAAGGATTGGATTAAAACCTTCTTTGAAGGAGATAACTTCTAAAAACTCGTTCATAGTTTGAAGAACTGAATATGGATGTGTTCAGCACAATTGTGACTCTAGTACAGTACGTTATAGAGGATTCTAATAAAAATAATTGTTAGATAATATTTACAAAGTTCAACTATTGGTCAAAGCATTCTTCGGTTACAAAAAATCCTTTTCGGGGTATTAATTCTGAACAAGCGGTTAAGTATAAGGCTGCTATGCAAGCTGTTGTCCTCTCTGATTTACAAGATGTCTGCGTGTGCCTGGATGGTAAATCTCAGGAACTTGGTATTGAGACCATAGGTGCTGTAATGATAAAACTCATCCAAAGGAATACAGATATTTCTACAAAGAAATCTGAAATCTTCTCGACTATCTCTGACAATCGGCACACTACGACCATTCAGACTGATGACAAAGGTCGTTCCATGAGACAAGAGAATCATTTATTTGGAAAAGTATACTGAAGGGAATTTCTTCTCGTTTGGTCGCAGGTTGAAGTGACGTTTGGAACAGATGCCAACGGTATCTTTTATGAGTATTCTTAAGATAAGGGTACTAGCAACAGAAAAATCAGTTATTACAAATGACTGCTGAAACATGCTTGCTCCACATAGAATATAGAAATAGATCGAATTGTCAAAGTCAATTGAAGATTTTCCTGATGATGAGATTCAGGATAACTATTAAAATGTTTAATGATGTGACTGGTTACTTGAACGGTTAAGTAGCCCCCCAAATATCAAAATATCGATGTCAAATTTGGAGGGCCTCGACTTCTGCCCGACCGATCGGGTAATATTAATTTTCGGGGAAATCGCCAGAACGGTTTGATGGCCAGTGTTGACCACAGACGGACGGTTAGACAGAAATTTTGCCTTAAACTATATTTTTGATATCACGCACCCATAAATTGTGAATTATAACTACACAACATATTAGATGATGTAATTTGCTGCATACAGGGACAGAAATTATCCCTTTTTTGGGTAATGGGGATGCGCAAAACGGCTCTTGTTCGAAAAATCTACTTTTTTTGCCCCGGTATTATAACAGTTTCTCTATATTGCATATGTAGTATGGAAAAATGGGGGAAAAATTGAAAATTTTCTCAGGGATTTCATGTTAAGTACCGCAAATATTTGAAGAATTCTTTTCAAAATTTCAGGGCTTTGAGAAAGGCCAGATTGATTACGGAATATTCATTTTAGAAAAATTTCTAATAGTTTAGGTGCTAGTGTTTTTTTAATAATTTCACAGACGAAGAAACAAACAGACGAACAAATTGCGTCTTTGAATAATTTTACTTTCCCGTATACGTACGTATATACGGAGTATTATTACACAGTATAGAGAAGGTTATGTAATGCCACGGAATATCGATTTCGAGATTCGAACGGGAATACACGTTTCGGGGTCCCCTCATACAGAAGAATTTGTTTTTTCAAAACATCCGTCCGTCTGTGAACACTTCTAGCGCCTCAATCATACTTAGGATTTTTCCAAATCGAAAAACCTTTGTGCATCTAGCTCGAGTTAAGGATTTGAGATTTTGAAAAAAAAATCTTTAAATTTTAGGAGTACTTTACATGAAGGCCCCCGAACATTTTCAAAATTTTCTCAAAAACAGCTCGAAATATTTTCTTTCAGTTTCTCGTCAGATTAGAGTACTCCTGTAAAGGTGGCGTAGGTCCAATTTACACCATTAACTCTGAATTTCGAAAATTTCAAAAATTTAAATTATTTTCGGCATCTACCTACAACTACTAAATTGAAGATAGAGATTTTTCTTTTAGATAATATTTGATGACCATAATTAGTTCTTTCATTAAGACCATGTACATTTTTTTTACTTTTGGTAGTTTTCGCGGAATATTGAAAGCAATTTGTGCAATTTAAAAAAAAATACAAATACTAGATTTTCTCAAAAACTTCTCCAATTTTTTCTGTAAACATTTGCTAGGGGTAGTGCTAAATGTATTCTATTAGTTGGTATAAACACAATATTGCTCCATTCTTTTTTTTTCTAAATTAAAAAAAACTGTAATTTGTTTAACTTGTATCTCACGTCGTTAATATTTATATTAGCGACAATATTATATTTATGAGTACATGTGCTTTAAATAATGTCACATTAAGTTTCTCGAAAACGCAATCGTTTCTGTGAAAAATAGCTAAAAACTTTACATTTCCTGAAGTCATTTTCTCAAAAACTGCTCCAAATTTTCTCTTCAAACTTTTCAATTGAATAGTGCTCATTGTTCTCTTTAATATAACGTTAAGTTCATTGCATTTTTTTGGTTTTCAAAAAGTACACAAATGTGACTTTTTTAAGAGATCTCACGCCTTAATATACAAATTTGCAGCAATATGTAAACACTATTTAATTTATGAGTTAAAGCACTTCAAATGAGGTTGTTCGAAAACTCAAAAAATTGTCTGTGAAAAAGTTCTTGAAATTTCGAATTTACAGTAGAACATAAGCGCTATTTTCTTAAAACGGCTGCAAATTTTCAAAGAAAATTGCACTTTAGGACGAGCTTTCACTGTTCTTTAGTATTCATAACATAATATTTTCGTTCTATTTTTAGTAAAGCGAAAAATTAAGAAAATTTGAAACACATGTACTTTGGCAATAGATGTCAGTTGGGAAGAATATGTGGCAAGTCCTAATTGGTAGCCGAGACCAAAGGAAATAGGAAACTAATATGGGAAAATATGTGTCATTCTGTAGCAACACTAGTTTTAAATGATTCTATATATACATATTCGAGACAGAACAATTTAAAATTCCGATTGGAATTAAAATAGAATTAACACTGCATAATTGCAGACGATGCATAATTAGTAGCTTCCTTTGGTAGTAGTAAAACTAGCAAAAAGCTTTGGGATTACTTGAATATATCTGGAAATATGTTTCCAACTTCTAAGCAGTTTTTTTCAGTTACAAAAATACACTTCCTTTATTTGTAAACCTCAATAGTGCCAAGGACGACTTTCAAAGACGATTTTATAATTAATGTAGAAAAACTGTAGATAGTCCCTAAACTGTAGATGGCCCCTCTTCTGTTTCATACGTTGAACTGTACAAATAACACTTCTGACGCTTTCCTCTTATGAAGGTGGACCCGCGTCGCTTTGCTCGTATGAAGGCAGAGCTGAAACAATAGAAATAAAATAGTTTTGCGTACAATTTTCATTGATACTTGCGATATGGGCGATATATACTTGCGAAATGCGAAAGCGGGATACGGGGATTAGCGCATTAATATCCCTAATTCTACTTGGAGGGTTCAAACGTGGCTAGGAGTAGTGAACTTTGAAGATAGGAAATGCTCCGTGATACGTGCCATATTGGTAGCATGTAAAACGCTAGGATATAAAACGCAGAAATACGCCTACGACCCATTCCTCCCTAATAATATTCTTTATTACACAATCGTGATCATAATCAGAGTCTCGTCAATCGTAATCGGTAAACTATAATTACGCACATCTCAATAACTACCAACTGATTCTGTAAACAGAATGTCATTTAGGGTATTTTCATTGCAAAATTCTGAAGGTCCAATTTATATCTGGAAGAGATTACCGAAAGGGACATTTAATACTCTAATGAGTAAGGTAATGGTAACAGTTTTCCTGATCTATTGAGCAAATGCTGAGATGGCCCCTTGTGTTTCTTTATTACATAAGTGTAGCTGCACAATGTGCATGGCTTGTTGGGATCTTGTTTTGCTAGTTATGGAAGGAGTAGAGATAGTGAGGTGGGTTGCTATTTTGTTAGCAATACTAAAAAAAATACTACCACTGACTCACACTTCGCGGTTCGCCTAAATTTAAACACACATTTGATAAACACACAAATTTCCGAATTCTAGAAATTTAAAATAGGTACTGAAACAGAATAAAATTAAAATCCCGACATATTCACAACATCCTCAAAAAACAGAACATGACGTGTCTTAACCAACAAATCCCTGAACTCTCTTCACCTCTGCTAAAAGTAGCACAAAGGGTACACCCCTAACGCCCACTCCTCCCTACCCCATTGACCATCGCTCGCCCCACTGCTTCTCAAGCCTCCACCGGCACCCCGCGTCTTACGATCCTTCACCCGCACCCCACCACTCTTCCCGCCACCACCCGCTACCGAGCGCCTGTGTTCCGCAGAACTTTGTTTTCGGCGCGGAAGCTACAAAGTATGTACGACCCAGTTTGCTTACGCATCTTGTAAATACATACATCCTGTAAATAATATTTGTATAAACTGATACCTAATAGTTTATAATTGATGTAATAATACAATTTATTTCCAATTTCAGCTCTGAGGATGATCGCTACGCGATCGAAACGATCATAAGCATATTAACATTATTGATACCAAACAGCATCCTTTATTTATCATAATAATAGAAGCACCAGCGACCTAATCAATATTAGAAAATAAAATGTTTAGTTTTTTACCAAAGCTAGTAAATAATGACTAGGGAGAGAAAAATTTAAGTTATTAAATGTTGCCAACTTCGCTTTGTTGGCACGTTTATTCATCATTCAACTATGCATGGCAGAGAGTTTATACTATTTCCTGACGTCGAATAATTTAAATGAAACGATAAGTAATTTTTTTGAAAATATACGAGTCCATATCGCAAAATTTGAAAACGTACTTACGCTGTTTAGAACAATCGTAACCAGATGGAGGTGAGGGAAAGACATACTCCAGATGTGGCCCCAGATGTACAAAAAATCTTTAATGTCTGTAGCCTGGAATGATTGCAAGCGATTTCTCTACGGAATCATCCTATTTAGATCTTCAAGAGTTGCGTCTCGGTGCATTCCAGAGATCATTTCTACAATCCAAGTAGGATATTACTGTTAGAGATCTCAGCGTTGGATCTTACATAAAAATATTGAAACATAATTATAACTCACAAAAATTGAAGTTAAATTTACTTCTTTTTTACAATAGCCTCTACAAATCAGATTGTCTTAAAAATATGTTTAATTTCACATAACCAATATTACATCAGTTTCATTTGTTTATCAAGAACAGAGAAGGAATATTTTTTTCCACAAAGATGCAAAAACCGAATAGCCTCTGTACAGCGACAACTGTTATATTTCAAAAAATAAAGTGACAATTTCACAAAAGTTCTCTTGAGACGTGTGAACTTTATACGGAATTTCATCAAAGTTCGAGATGACGTTTTTAAAAATTGTCTTGGAATGACATGATGGAATTGGAATGAAGCTCTCTAGAACGTTTTACTTCACACGCTCAAAAATACACATTAATTCAAATACGGTACGAAATATCAGAAAGTATTTAAGAATATTTTTTAAAAAAAATTCTATACTGCTTTTTATTTAAAAGAAAAACCAAACAGATCGGACATGAGGTAACAGAAACAAAGGCATCAACATTATGTTATCATCCACCATTTTTCAAAACGTCACATAATAAGCTCTATTACGATTATTTTCTCCTCCATACGTCACATACAGTTTTTTACTGTTTTTTT